CAGATAACATCTGCACAAACACTGCCTCTGAACCACTTTCATAGACTATTGCTCCAAATCTGTACACATAGCCTTCTTTAGATTGCTGAGATGGGGTGTAGTACACACACGACTCTTTCCTGAACTTTGTTCAAAATCATTTATCTGCAGCGTAACATGTGGACACTCCAGTTCTGACAAATTGATGTCATCAATTGAGATGCCACCTGTAGAATTTCCAGCTCCTTTTCTCACTTCAAACTCCACCTGGAAGGACTTTGTTGCATTTAGGGAAACATGATGCAGCTGCCAGTGCGATGTTAACTGACCTAAAAAGATACAGACATTCATTGGAATCTCCTCCTAAAAATAAATAATAATATATATATTTAAATTGCTTAATGCAGTACCTGTTATCTGTGCAGCTAGATGGCGCTGTCCTGTGACATCGTGCTCATCTTGAAACTCTCTGAACCAGATGTTGAGCTGGTCTGATACACTTCCACTGTGAAAGTAGTAGAACTGCAGACACTGGACATGGCACTCCCTTTTAGGCATCATCCTCTTGGTTTCCAGCCAGGCTGAGTCTCCCTCCTGTCCAGTTGCAGTGCTCACATGCATAAAGTAACTTGGGCCTACACCTGTAATTTGTGTGTTTTGTCAGTAAATAAATAATAATAATAATAAAGATAAAGATAAATCTATTGCCCTCTTAGGGATGTAGAGTGCCATCTATATTCTGTGTATCTCTAGTTTTCAGATTTGAGGACAAAGAAAAAAAAAAAAAGAAATGTCTCTTACTGTGCATAGTAGAGTTTAGACTTGTGTGGTCAAAGGAAGGTTGTCCAGTTGTTTGCGACAGAATTTTCCAACCATTTAATGTTTTTGAGCATTTGGTCATTTCACACATGGTTCCATCAGAAAAACTACAGTGCATTAGAAATGCGATGGTGGAGTCTGTGAAATGGCTTGTATTTATTAATCAAATCATTTGATTTCTCCAGTGTAATTACATACAAATAGTTAGCACTCACTGCATTTGTAGAGAAGGTTTAGCTCTTTAATGTCAGTGGCACTCACTTCATATCTCTGACCGATTATGTCTTGGTATGCCACGTTGTTTGTAGTAATTGTGAGACCATTTCCATTAGAAAAATCATTTTTACCATAGTGCATCACAGACCAATAATCATATGTGGTTCCATGGGTGGTGCTACTGTCTGAAGAAACCTTTCTAAAATTATTCTCAAAACCTGTAAAGAATATATATATCACATAAATTCAAAACACATAACATTCAGTATATATAATGTCATGCTGTAACCTTCAATAACATTTTCCAGATGAATAGTGACATAATTATCACGGTCATATCTGGACTGTTCATGGTAAAAACCCAGAGCATGGAAAAACTCGTGTTCAACTAATACCAATCTGGTCACAATTTTGTCCAATAGACAGTTCCTGTCCATTTATTCTGCTCCGACCGATGTATGACCAACAACTGGAAAGAAAGTCAAGTTAATGCATTACATTTTGTCTTTTAACTAATTCCAGTACTTACCCATCAAGTTTTTGCACAGTAATGTAGTAATCCTCACTGTTCCTCGGTTTAAAGTCGATGCATGACTTCAGTCTGAACTGATCGAACGCTTTCAGGATGACTCCTTTTGCATTCAGATCTGTCATAACAATGTCGACTCAGACATGATCAAGATAAACAATATAGATGAAGAAGATCAAACTGACCTAGATCATTTCCCAAAACATATGGAACAGGAGAATTCCAAAGTGAAGTTTCCGGAATAATCGAACTTTTTGCTGCATTTGGCTGATACAGAATTTATATATATATATATATATATATATATATATATATATATATATATATATATATATATATATATATATATATATATATATATATATACATATATACACACATACACACACACACACACACACACACACACTTACCATTCTGATATCATCCACCATTAGATCTTCATTAAAATACATATAATAATTAGTAAACAGTTTTCTTTTTCAACATAACTGTACTAAAATAATATTTACCCTTGTTTATCTCTGAAATGCTCTTTTCGTCACCAAAAACTACAACATACATGCAGTTATTTATTTATATTTTAAGCTTTTTAAAAAAAATATATATAATTGTATTTTAACATAATCCATCAGATTTCTTACTTGTTATTTGTGGGATTTCCTGTTTGAAAAAAATATCAACATTTGTTGCCACTGAATTTGATCCAACAAAGAAGAAGAAGTAAAAAATTATCACTTACCTGTGTTTGAGCACCTGCCACTACAGTCAAGACCATTGTGACAATCACACAGACTTTCATCTTTAATTGAACACAGAATGGGACAAATTCCTGACTATGTTGAGGTTGTTATAGTTAGAGCACTGTCCAACCTCTTACATATTTCCTTGTTCTTTGTTTGTGTCACTTTCATATAATTTAGTAAAATCAGGAACTAACATTGAGTCAGGCACGTGACTCCAAATCAACAGTTCATCTATTGTTAGGTTGCTAAATAATTACTGTAAGTATGAAATGTTGATCTTCTCATGATGCTTTACGTATTGATTGTATATAGAAGTTTGCAGTGACTGTAAGAGTTCATGTTCTTCTTAAATAATATACAACTGACCAGTTGCAGACCGTGTATTTCACACCTAGGCTGTCAGTAGTGCTCCATCTGAAACAATCCATTCCTCAATAACTATTTTATGGTTATAAAAGCCATCTTATTATACAAAAATACAGTATAAAGAGCTGTTGCAGCGCAAATAGATAACTCCTGTAGCCACAATCAGGGGTGTAGTGGGCGTGGTATGCGGGTGTATGGTGTCTACCCACTTATGACATATAAAAAAATAACAAATGTGAAATCGGCTACAACTTAAATGCCAAACCAGAGCTATTGGCAATGATGAAAACAACCTACATAGGCTCATGATGTCTCCAGTACTATCTTATAGTGACCTGTGACATGAGGGACCAGGACTGAACGAGGACTGAACCAGAACTAAACCAGGACTGACGTATGCCCGTGTAGACCGTTGGATGACCACAGGCGAAAGGACTGGCACAGAGCCCCACAGGGCTATGCCGCAGTCGTCATCTGATCGCACTTTGCGGACAACTTTCCCGTGGGCTCGGGGTTCTCTCTCTCTCTCTCTCTCTCTGTCTCTCTCTCTCTCTCTCTCTGTCTCTCTCTCTCTCTCTCTCTCTCTCTCTCTCTCTCTCTCTCTCTCTGTCTCTCTCTCTCTCTCTGTCTCTCTCTCCCCCAAGTCCAAGATTAGTCCTGGTCTAGTCCTGGTTCAGTTCTGGTTCAGTCCTGGTTTAGTCCTCCTGGTTCAGTCACGAATCACGTACCCCCACTTAAAAAATCTACTACACCACTGGTAATTAATAATAGTTGTCGTACACCTGCTAGAAGGCCCTGGTGCCACCAACTCAAAATCTGACTGGTTGAAGCAACAGTTTCATGGACATTTATTTTGTGTTCGAGGGCCTGCAGAATGGATTGTGAAGGCCTCAGGCACACTTCTTGGACTTAGACCCTGCCTGGAAACAAATGATGGCTGAAATATGATTGGTCAAATGCTTCAACATGAAAATACATGTTAATAATAGTATAATTAACATCAGTTTGTGATTTAGATATTTTTTAGGCCAGCAGGGAAGGCCTTGCAGGCCCTGTTTTCATATATGTACTCTTGCCTTATAGGTATATTCTCTGTACCAAGAATTCATGTGTATACACCCATTTATTATAAACTATAAATGCTGATGGTCTCTTATGTCTGGACCTCTGGGCCACTCGCAAGGTTGAGAACTTAAGTGCTTTTAAATAATTGAATTCAAAACATGTTTGTTTTTTTGGAGGGCTTGGCTAATTTACAGATGTGCTTTTAATAATGTACAGTTTTGTTTTGTTTGTATCATAAAAATTCAGTGTGAAGCATAGTTGTTTAGAAAAGCGCTATACAAATACAGTTTGTTATTATTATTATTACAGTATGCTCAAACATAGCACATCTAGTACTCAATAAGTTGCAAGAATTGCTACAAGTGCACAAAAGATATGTCCCACAACAGTGAAATTACAGTTGTTTGTGTCTAATAGACACAAACTAACACAACACTGTGTCAGTAGAGTAAAGCAACAGAACTTTGCACAGTAAGTGGCTATGACTGAGGTTATGCACCATGCCTATTACCACCTGTCAAGGGGACTGCAGGAAAAAAAAAGCCCCTTTAGGCTAATTTGGCTAAAGTTTATTAATGTACTCTGTCCCACTGAAAACTAAATCTAAATATATAAAAAATACCATGCAGCATATTGACAAGAATAAAGTAGTTAAAATAACTTCAGTATATTATATTCTTATATGTAGGTATCAGCAAGAATAACAACAGTTGCAAATACAATTTAATCAGAGTTTTGAAAATAATGCTATTAAAGCAATAACTACGAGGTACGTAATACGTTACGGTAATACGTTATTTTATGATCTACTAATATGTTATAATGTTGTTTCCTCATCACAAATATATTTGGATTTGTATTTTGTTTCATTCACACATGTTTAACACACAAGCCCTGCATGTTAGTCTGAGCTCCCAAACAGAAAATACTGTGTTCCACCTTATAATGTCATGTGGTAATACAGGAAGTGCTCCACTGTGTTTTTAAAGTCCCTACACTTTCACTAGAATCATTTGGGTAATTTCAGCACTGGAATTGTCAATCTCTAATGAATAAATAGTAAATGATAGCTGTTAACTTGAAAACTATTACTTTATCACATCACAAGTTGGAACAAAGCATTTTGAGCTTTAGCGATGTAGACTAAGAATAAAGGGTTACTTAAAACATGTGTGAATGAAACAAAACACAACTCCAAGTATGTTTTTGATGAGGTAACAACATTATAATATGGCATAAAGCTCACAAGAGTCAATTTTGTGTAATACAAGACCTTTTAA